AGATGTTTTTAATAAATCTCTGAACAAGTTGACTAGAAAAGAAAGTTGAATTTAAACAAATGTGAAATTTTAAGGCCTAACAACCTGTACAAGCTACTAAGAATAAAATTAAACAAATAACTGTGGCCACTGAAGGTCTGAAACTCTTGAAGGATCACTGGACCCTAAACATTTTCTCTGCTTTCTCTGCACAGATGCTGTCAGACCTGCTGAGTTTCTCCAACCATTTCTATTTTTGATTAACTAAGATTAAAATGCTGGATTTAATCCAAATGTGACCAATGAGAGAATGAAGAGATTAGTGGCATAAGGCAGAGTTGACAATGGATACTAAAACACCCTCTTTGGTCTTCTAAATGTTCAATCTAAATACACTAATATTAAATTTGACAATTCTATTCTTGAATATACCATTAAACTGTCTCATATTCACTACTGTATAATTCAGGGGACGTTTGCCTACAGTCAATTTGAAAACAAAAACACATCTACCACTGGTTGACGGGCCCAATATAAACCACTGACAGTATAACATATAAATCTGCCCAGTATTTGAAGTATTTTAACATAACAGCATTTGTGATTGTCGAAAAGGCAAAAAGGCTGAACTTTTTTTATAAAAATTGGAAACTCCCAATAAACTGGCATTACTGGCCTATAATCCCAAAAACCAAGCACTTAGGAGTTGAATTTTATTCCACCATTGAAACTCTGAAGTGACATTTAGAGAAGGTGGAGGGATGGAATAGAAGAAAATCATTGGAACTTAATGGTTTTCAAGTGTTTCTTTCCATTACAACATTGGTCATTGGGAATAAATCTGTAGTTTTGCATTGGCTATTTTCATCATTTAAATTCCTAATACTTTTGCTTTCTTTTTGCATTAGTAATGACAAGAAAAGATAAATTATAAGAAAGAGGAACACATTTTTGTTTTGATGTTTCCTCACAAAAGAAAGGTACAGTTTCCAATAATCCGTTGGATTTGGCAAGGATATTCATATTCCCATGTACATCTGATTCAGATTGTCATAACGTTTTGTAGAAATGTAGCACTATTAAGGGAACAAGGTCAGGATCACACCCACAAAAAGATAAACAGTCTACTTCAAAGTTTCAGTTCATTGTCAGAACTAACAAATACCTAGGAAGCAGGAGAGTTGATCCCATCTTAAACAAATTTCTTTAACGTAAAAATGAATGAACACTTGGTCTACCAACTCAGATGGGAGTTACAGACCCCCATCACATCTCAAGATAACCATAGCAATTCCAGTGCATGGCGCAGAACCAAACATAGAGTGTTGCTATGATGTTTTTCACCTGTTAGGGACCATTCTGAAGAAGGGTCCAGACCCAAAACATCAGCTTTCCTGCTCCTCTGATGCTGCTTGGCCTGCTGTGTTCATCCAGCTCCACACCTTGTTATATCAAACATAGACTGTGCTTTGTTCTCTCTGTATGTAGATAACTATAGGAACATGGAACTTGAGTAGGCTATTAGCATCTCAAGCCCTGCGTCACCATTCCATTACATCATGGCTGATCATCTAACTCAACTTCCTACAATTATGATCACGTTGCTGGATGTCATTAGTTATAGAAATCTATTGACTTCTGTATTGAACCTTTTCAGTGGTTGAACTTACACAGTATGCTGAAGGAGAGAATTCCAAAGATTCACAACCCTTTTGCATGAACAACTTTCTCCTCATCACTGTCCTTAATGTTTGACCTTATTCAGAGATCGTGTCCCCTTGTTCTAGAACCAACTAAAGTTCCATATAATTGAATCAAAACATCTATGGTAAACTTTTGAAGAGGTAGACCAGTATAATTATATAACAGAAGTGTTCATACTCTTGGCTCCTGACTTTAAAACTGTTGAGGTTATAAAAAAATAGTTTACCATCAGTGTAATATATTACCACATTTGGGGGAAACCTGTCCATAGTAAATTGCAGTAAATAGGTGAACAGCATCAATGCATTCATGGAGAAGCTAAATAAACACATGAAGGGCAAAGAAATAGATAGATAGTTACACTGGTAGGGTTAAGATCAACTGTGGGAGCCCCCTGTGAACTATAAATTGGTTCATTCCATAGATTGATGGTTAACTGGATTCCTTCCATGCTGTATGTTTTATATAAATGTAAAAATCAATTAATTAAACCAACTCTATTTGAAACAAAAATGCAACAAATGCTTAACTGTGCATATCGGCTTGTTTTATTACCATTGCAGTGCTTGTGGTTATGAGTGGTGACCAATAACAGGGGTTTGATTCCCATTCCAGCTGAAATGGGTTGGGGAACTGCCTCTTTGCCCTGCCTGAGAATGAATGGCAAAGACAAATCACCATGGACAAAACAAATGAACAAAATAATTTGACCCAGAAGGAAGCATGAGACAATAATGAATGGACCTGCCTTTGGACAGAGCATGCAGGATGATCAGACATGAATTCACTGAATGGCAGAGCAGACTTACTTTTCCTCCTATACCTTACGGTTATATAACACTGGAGCTATCAGTGGCTTTACAGCACTTGTTTCCTATCTAGCTGGAACTTAAACTTCTCAAAACATGAACTCTTCAATGGCTGGGTAAATGCATGGAAACGTTTGCCCACAATATTGGTAAATTTTACTGATATGAGGAATCTCTGCTTGTGAACATTTAAATCAAAGTCAAATTGTTTTGCAAAGTGATCTATGTATTTCAGAAACCAAAGTGTCGAACTAAAACACCACAAGATTTCTTTCTCCAGGGCAATTTCCCTTTGTTCGAGAATCAGGTGACACTCTGACTTCAACAGTTATTGGAAGTTGTACACTAAAAGGTATAATAGTGCAAAATGGCATTGGTTCCACACCTTCCACAAATTTGTAGTGTTATATGTGTGTTTTAAGCAAACTTGGAAAGCCTCCAAAACAGGTGGAAAACAGATTCAAAAAGACACAGGCCACATTACTTTAAACTCTATTACATAACTGTTTGCAAATGTGCATTACTGGATCATGGTCATACTTGCACTCTGAATTACTGGAACATTACAGCCAACAAATTTAACAGATTCTTTCATTTTGCTTCTATCCCATATGTAGCACCAAGACAGGCCTGTTAAAAGTAAATGTTATTTTACAGAACGGATTATAATACATTATCATTGCTGTACCTATCTGCATTACTTGACATCAGCCACCAACTGGGACATCTTAGCATAGACCTCAGTTTTAAACTTACCTTCCACAATACAGCCAAAAGGTCTCCTCCCATTTTTCAGTCATTCTATGTGGGATCCTAGGTTTCACCTTGGGCTTTCAGTTATGTTTACTCTGACTGACATACACCAAGAAGCCCCAACTTTATTTTTTTTTGCAATTATCAATTTTGAAATTGTCACTGCACTGTCCATGACATATGCTTCATCACAAAAACTAAACTTGCCCAGTGACCATCTTAAGCTCCAACCTACATAAAATTCATCAATATACAACACGTATATTGTTGGATACTCACATTTGATCATCAAAGAATATTTCTTACTTGCCAGCTTAGTGCTTATTGGCACACCCTACCTTCAGAATATCAAGTATAAAATAAGACTCTTAAAAACTCTCCACAGTTGCAGCATCTTACAGTTTGAGACTTGTTCTTTCAATTCAGCTTTACTACGAATTCTCTCTACCACCAAAATCATCACTCCTACCACCAAGTACGGTTAAGCAGTTCTTTCCTCCTTGTGCTTATTCTTCAAATGTTTCTGTAAAGTCAACCTCATTGACGACCACTCCCCCAGTTCCAGTCTGTTCAGGTACAACCCAAGCTTGGAAGCATCAAACCATATTTATCGGTGTTGAACAAAGTTGCCAGAGGAAATGCAACATTCATAATGTCCCATTTTAAAAAATGACCTTGCCTTCTCAGCCAAAAATGTCTGTCTAGTTCTCGGAGGTAGAACATAAAGCTCACCAATGACAGCTTCTTGCTGCCAACATTAATACTTAATTCAATACGTACATAGAGCTGTAACAGTAAACTACTGATTACAAACGTTCTGTGATATTCAAGCTTTCAAATCATTGTCATTTGCATTCCAAGTATACAAAGCAAAAGGCATGAATAAAAAGATTTAGGGAAATGTTTACTTCAGAACTGATAATTGATTTAGACATAATGTAATTTCACAAATTAAATTTATTTGCACTGTACTTAAACAATTACAGTAATAGCTTCACTCATATTTTAACATGCATAAATAGGGCAAGGTTTCAATATTCCTCCCAGATCAAGAAGGCTAAATTTAAATTTACTCAGTCCACTTTGAGTTTGACTAAACTGAAACAACAAAACTATGAAGCTTACAAAGAAAATCATTTCAAGCAAGTACGATGGAGTTCAATGAAGCTCAAATACTCGCTGACTTGATGTAATATGCGAGCTCACAGGCAACACTGGCTATCACGTATCTGTACACATCCCCCCAACGTTAAAAACGCTCTCGTGGGTCTTCTGTTCTGCTCTATGTCCTCCCATCTCCACCCTTGGTTCTCACAGAGGAGCCATGAGGATTGTCATTACTCAAAATGGGGCCACAATGTGAAAGCATTTGGGAAGCAGTGCCCTAAAGAGACAGGATGGGGAAAACATAGTACCTTAAACAGTGAAGCAAGCTCGAGCAATAAAAAGGTGATAGAATTCAGATTTGTACATGAATGTTGGTGTCGCTAAAGATAATAATGATCCCATGGATTAGTCAAAAAGCTCAAGGAGAGAAGATAGTTTTGGACAAGACTGGGGCAATTTGCCAGTTAATTCTGGAAAAAGACCATCTATAGTGCAGGATTTAAATAAAAAACATACTTAAATGCTGGAGTCCATCATCCATTTTGTTTGCTAAATGGTACAGGTCATTGAAAACTTTAAGAGTAGAGTTTGTTTCCATGTACAAAGTTATCATAAAATATACCGCTCACAAACAAGATTGTATGTTACCTTGCCAAGATCAGTGTGTTCCACATCACAGATCACACAAGATATAACAGTTGTAATCCAACTGGGACCAGCTGTTCTCTGGTTTCTTTTGGCAACAACCCAAGATTAATGTCAGACACATGCTGACGCATGCAGACTCCAGATATGAAACCAAGGCCATTGACTGCAGAAAGAAAATAAAATGCTTGAAAAAAGATCAGGTAAGAGAAAGAATTGTGCACATATCTGTCGAGCTAGTATAGTTTTAATCAATTTTAGGGATTGCAAGCAGAACAAAATCAGGATCCTTCAGGCTAAGCTCAAGGGTCGGCTGTTTAGGAACAAACAGTGATTATGTTCATTGACTTATTTAGCAAGGCTCGCCAGATGGTCAAATAGTTCAACCAGAGTATATTGATCATTTTTCAAATTCTATAGCAGAAATTGCAGCTTGGCAATTCTTATTTCTTGTCAATTTCAGAAAATATATCATTATCTTCTCCTCATGTGTGATGGATTATGTGAAGTGTTCTCCCCATAGAAAGCCATCCACATCATGAGACAAGATATTTGCTCCAAAGCCGGGAAAGGCACTGCAGGAGATGCAGTTACAGACTAGCCAGTCAGATGGTCCATCAGGACTCTCCTGGTAACATCACTATCATCTGGTAGGCACCAACATGAGGAACTCACCTCACCAAGAATATCTCAAAATTACTGTAGGTGCAACGCAGAAGTGATTGCCAACCTGGGAAAGAAAAGTTGGAACAAGGTTAGGACAAGCTTTAGAGACTTGAAAGTTGAAATGCTCATGGTTGTCTATGTGTCTTCACTCATCTGCGCCTGGCCCATTTAGCCAATCTTGGATGTGCCAGTTTGTTGAAATGACATGAAAATTGTTGGGGTGATAAATAATGAGGATAGCCATAGACTATCAATGGAGAATGTCAATGGATTAGTCAGCTGGGGAGAACAATGGAAAATGGAATTCAACCTACAAAAAGAGAGGTCATAGAGTCATTGAGCACAGAAACAGACACTTCAGTCCAACCCATCCGTGCCAACCAGATATGCCAATCTAATTTTGTCCCATTTGCCAGCATTTGACCCATATCACTCTAAACCTTCCCTATTCATGAACCTATCCAGATGCCATTTAACACAGTAATTGTACCCACCTTCGTCTCTTCCTCTGGCAGCTCATTCTATACATGCACCCACTCTGCATAAAAAAGTTACCCCTCAGGTCCTTATTAAATCCTTCAGCATTCAATTTAAACCTATGCCCTCTAGTTTTGGACTCCCCCACCCTCGGAAACAGACTTTGCACATTCACCCTAACCACACCCTTCATGACTTTATAAACCTCAATAAGGTCACCCCTTAGCCTCCGACACTAGGGAAGATAGCCCAGCCTATTCAGCCTCTCCCTATAACTCAAACCTCCACTCCCAGCAAAACTCTTGGAAATCTTTTCTGCACCCTCTCAAGTTTAACAACATCCTTACTTTGGAGGGCAACCAGAATTGCACGCAATATTGTAAAAGTGGCCTCATCTATGTCCTGTACAACTGCAACATGACATCCCAACTACTAAGTTCAATATTGTGACCAATGAAGGCAAGCATGCCAAATGCCTTCTTCATCACCCTGTCTACCTGCGACTCCACTTTCAAGGAACTATGAACCTGCGCCCCTCAGTCTCTTTGTTCAGCAGCACTCCCCAGGACCTTACCATTAAGTGTATAAGTCCTGCCCTGATTTGCCTTTCCAAAATGTAAAACCTCACATTTAACTATATTAAACTCCATCTGCCATTTCTCAGCCCATTAGCTCATCTGATCAAGGTCTTGTTAGACTCTGAGCCAACCTTCTTCACTGTCCACTACACCATCTATTTTATTATCATCTGCAAACTTACTCATCATACCTCCTATATTCACATTAAAATCATTTATAAAAATGATGAAAAGCAGGGGACCCAGTACCGATCCTTATGGCAGACAACTGGTCACAGGCTTCCAGTCCAAAAAGCAATCCTCTACCATCACCCTCTTACCTTCATGCCAATTTTGTATCCAATTGGTTAGCTTTTCCTGGATCCCATGTGATCTAACCTTACTAACCAGTCTACCATGTAGAACCTTCATCAAACGCTTTGATGAAGTCCATATAGACAACATCCATCACTCTGCCTTCATCAACAGTCTTTGTCACCTCTTCAAAAATCTCAATCAAGTTAGCGAGACTTGATTTTCCATGTACAAAGTCATGCTGACCATCACTAATCAGTCCCTGCCTTTCCAAATGTATGTAAATCCTGTCCCTCAGAATACCCCCCACTGATGTAAGCCTCACTGGTCTATAGTTCCCTGGCTTTTCCTTACAGGCTTTCTCAAATGGCACCACATTAGCCAACCTCCAGTCTTCTGGCACCTCAGACATGGCTGTTGATGATACAAATATCTCAGCAAGGGGCCCACCAATCTATTCCTCAGTTTACACTTGGTAATGCACTTGGGGAGGGCTAACAAGGCAAGGAACCATGCTATAAAATGGAAAGTACTGAAGATCAGAGGGACACTGGGGTGCAGATCCACAGACCCCTGCAGGTAACAGGGAGTATAGAAGATGCTTGCCTTTATTAGCCACTGTATACAATACAAGGTGGTTATGCTAGAACTGTAGAGTTGGTTAGGCCACAATTGCATACTCTTCTGGTCAACAAAATATAAGGAGGATGTGATGGCAGAACAGAAGGTGCAGAGGAGATTTTCAGGATTCTGCCTGGGTTGGAGGAAACAGAAGACAGGCTGGGCTGGTTTTCCTTGGAGCAGCAAAAGGTTGAGAGAAGACCTGACAAGAGGTGTGCAAGACAATGAGGGGCATAGATGAGGTGGACAGAAAGGTACTTTCTACATTATTAGAGGGGTTCAATAACCATAGGTCATAGATTTAAGGTAAGAGGTGGAAAGCCAAGAGGAGAGCTGAGGACAGAGAGTAGTGACAAGACAGTGGAGTCTGAAACTCATTGTCCAAATGGGTTGGTTGTGTCAGAAACTCTTGTAAACATTTAAATTGTATTTAGAAATTCACTTGCATTGCCATCGTCTCCAGGGCAATGCGCCAAGAACTGAAGAATGGGATGACTGTAGTCAGAAATTTGTTGACTGGTACTGATATGATGGGCCAAATAGCTTCCTTCTGTGCTGTAAATGTCCAAAAGACACAATAAAAAGTCCACTCCCCTACTGTTTTCCTGAGCTTTGCAACTTTTTTTCCCTCATTTCAAGTATATCCAATAAGGTAGAAGCACCTGTATAGCTAACAAGCAACGCATCACCTCGACGGTATAATGACAAACATTTCCATTGTGATTTGACTGAACAATACAATGAGGCTGCTAATCACTGACTATGTAATAATAGGGAATGATTATAAATCTCATGATCGAAATTGTTTTGCCAGTCTGAATTAAAATATTCAATTATTTGCTTCTGGCAGGGAACTACCTCATATTTCTGCCAGCTTTAAGGACAAATGTACATTTTCATAGTCACACAGGCATGGGGACGTTAAAGATATCTTCATCTTTCCAGACTGCACAAGACAGAAACCAGTTACTCTTCTTCAATCGACTCAGGCTAGAAACAAACACCTGCAAGTGTAAACTTGAAAGTAACAGATGATTTGCCTCTACATGTGCTGTGATTCTTTAGAAAGGAACCTGTAGATAAGTTGTAAAAAAGATGTTCTTGAGGAAAAGCAATACAAGAACTTGATACCCTGTAAAATGTTTGTCTCAATTTTATTTCTTTCAGCTTCTCATTGTCAATGTCAAAGTAATGTAATCAATCATAATCCAGAATCAAAACATTCCTACTCTCACCTCACTCTCCATTTGCTTCACTCTCCCTTTAGAAGAAATTAATTCCTACTTGGGAAATAACAGTGTCGATGTTGATTAAAGTCAAGTTATTTTTGTCAAAGAATGTAGAACTGCTGATTTTTAAAATGACAGCCTAAGAAAAACAGACTTCATATTGTTGTTTGCAGATTACAAACAGAAAGCTGCATTTAAGGGATGTAATCTGGTGCTCTGATCTCTAGTTTGATCTTCTTTATATTGTTTCGAGAGGGAGGAACAGGAAAACAGACTTTCGCACCATGCCGAGTCAATGCATTTGAGAGTCTGATTTAACGTAGCATTGAGAAAGGCATGCAGTCAGCTGCAGTGAGCACCAGACTGGGAGAAAGCAGATGCAGTGCATATACGCTGAAAAATAGTTGAAATTATAAATGCTTTAACATTGAGGTTAAATAGGACAATCATTAATTATTTGAAAAGCTCTTTCATTAGCACAGGCAGCTTGCTCTGTCAAAAGCCAAATTTGTAAAGTCAATGAGCAGATTACACAGGAAGTCTCAATTTGTGACAATAGTGGTCTCTGCAGAGGCCTCCTCTGGCGGAAGGAAATGGATGAATCTGCCAAGGTTCCCACTTGCTACTGGACATGCTTGGTAAGATAGTGACTCAATTATCACGCATGGTCACAGAATTTAATGCCTGTTAACTCTCATCAGGAAGTGTAAGTTAAGGACAGACCAAAAGGGCAGATCCAAAATCATTTTTTGTTTTAAAAACAGTGAAAACAAGGAGCAATAGAGGACCAAAGAGATTTGAGGGTGCCTAGCAGACAAATGCAAAAGATAATCAAAGAACACTAATGAATGCTAACTTTTATAACTGGAGTTCCAGAATATAAAAAGGGAAGATGTACTACAGCTGCACAAAGCCAGATTTCTACAATCCTGGATGCCATGCTTTAGAAAAGGATACACTAGTGCACAGATTCACTAGAAATGTCACAAAGGTTAGATTGTGGAGAGAGATAAAATATACTAGATTTGTATTCTCTGGAATCTAGAAAGTGAAGGGATAATTTTAATGAGTTTATTTCATGGTTTTGAAAAGAACCAATACAGCAGAGAAAAACTTTTCCTGCTGTTGGGACAGCCTAGGGAAAGGGAGCACTACATTGAAATCAGAGCCAGGCCTTTCAGGAGAAATATTCTGAAACTTCTCAATAAATTGGGCTCAAAAGGTCAGCAAGCAG